GGGGGTGGAGGCAGACAGAGAAGCGGTAAGGGGTTTTTTTTGTAGAAGGAGGTCAACATAGAACTTATGGTAATAATTTAGAGCTAAAGAAAAGACAATACGAAATAGTTCTTAGAGAGCACACAGTGAAAAACGATGTTAAAAGTAAAATGACCCAAGTATAAGGCGGAAAATAGAGCCAATCGTTTATCATCAATATATTTTTTTCAAGTCCCAAAAACTGACCCTATACTCGTGTCCAGGAAAAAAAAAGGTAGGGGAAAGGAATGAAATCCTGGGCTTCTTTTGCACATTGGGTTTTATCCTTATTATTAGCAGCACGTTAACAATTTAACTTTAAAAAGTAGTTTGACGAAGCATGCAAAACACAGATAGCTGGGGAAACTGTTATCAGAAATGGAATTGATAAAAGGGTTCTACTGCTCCCGATTTAGCCGTTTTGCCCACGAACACCTCATGTTATTATCCGGCTGCCGGAAGAAGGTGGTGGTAACTCAACAAACCGTCCTCCTCTCGTCATCTTTGACAAACAGTGGAAACTGTTTCTGGCATGTTCGCCAGGATCATTTCTTCAAAGGGCAACGTGTTGTCAAGCAACGAGAAAGGCCGCACATGTTGTACAGCAGAAGGACAGAAAAGACGCTTCCGGGGTTGTTACCTCGTTTCTTGATCAAATCTTCAAGAAACTTCGATTTTTTTTCATTTTGAACGTTTCAGAAAGACTACCTGTTTATTTCATTATTGATAACTGATAACACCAGGTTTAATCTTTCTCCCACCTCACTCCTTTTTCCATAGATGTCTTCAAGTCTGATCTGTCCGTGGGGGAAGTTGGCGCAGAACAACTGCGTGAAAGCAGGAAGTGCAGTCTTATAGTAGTAAAGAATGTAAGTTGAATGTCAGACATGTATTTGCCACATTTACCCTCGTAGATCAAATATTTTTTCTCTCTCAAAACCACAAAAAATGGACATTTCTTAGAAGACAGAGTTAGTGTTAGCATATGGTAGGACTGCTAGGGTAGTAAAAAAAGAGTCAAGGAACTTATGAATTAGAAAATGGAAAGGAAGACAAAATGTGTAAAACACATTACATCCTTTTTAAAAGAAAGCTTCGCATTAATACAAGAAAATGGAGATTGGTGTCAAACCGGGGCTTGGAGGTGGAGGTGGAAAGAACGCTATCAACCTTGCAACCAATTGAGCAAATGTCTGTCTAATTTTTGTCGTGTGCTCACATGCTTTCAAAGGGTAAGATGATTTAAATCAAAAGTCTAATCCCTTTTGTTTCGCGTTTCAGTAAACAAGTAATTCCTTTAAAACAAATGACATTTGTAATGAGATTCCTCTATTCTTCTTACAGACATGCACAATAATCGTAATGTCACACTATACCAGACATTTCGGACATATCTGAAAGTGCAGGAGGCGAGTCCTGTGGACAGTGTCATCGAAAGTGATTTCAACACATCGCACTCAGGGCTGCGTGGCAAATTTGTCTGGAGCCGGTAGGGAGTCCTTTATCACTCCCTGGAGGCGTTGATATGGAATTCCTTCCCCTCGCAAGATGAGAGTAGTCGCGTTCTAAGATGTTCTAGCTTAGATGTTGTCACGTAGCCATAATGTATACAGTTACAAAATGTCTCGTCTGAATCGATAGAAATAAACACAAAAGAAATGCTTGGGCTTTATACACAAATATGTGTGCGTATTAACTTGTTACAAGGATATATTTTTGGGGCATTTAATTAATCCTGATCCTCGTGTCGCCATGAGACATCGCCAGAAACAAAGATGTTTATAATGAAGCTATTTGTATATCTCAGATTGAGGAGTGAAAAAATGAAAGGTAATTATAAAGCAGGCCCTCTTTCGAGATTCCAGTAATTCTAGGCTTCATTTTATGTTGACATGTATAACAAAATGTTGGATTTCAAAGTAAATATGCTGAGGTTGTTAGTTTTGATGATTATGTTTTCATAAAGTATAATGATGTATTGTGAAAGAAATGCCAAAACCTAAAAATCGATACTGGAGGCCCAAAACTCAAGTTTCATGAGCTGTCCTTCCTCTTAAAGAGAAAAAAAAAACGCTGAGAGAGAAAGAGGCGTTTTGTAAACTGTGAATAGTATGAATAATTCACTGTGAGCCTAAGCTCTCTTGCTTTCCTTGGTTTAGGGGTATTATAGCCCTTATGCATTATAAATCAAACGTAAGAGAGAGCAATAATGATGCCTCGCCGCAGTTATGCGGAGGATAAAGGACGACTAGAACAATTTTTCGCCTCATTAGTTTTAAGTCAATTGACAAAATGTCAAGCGAAGAGCTATTAAATTTTGTTTTTCTGCTTACTATATCTACAAAGCATTATCTCACATAGTTGGCTACTATTGAATAACGTGATATCCTTGAACGGAAAGAAATTCGTGAAAGAACCCTCTCAGTATATCATTAGAGCACCCCCCCCCTCCCAATCAAACATCATAAAAATAAACTTTAAAGAAAACTCAAGGCATAAAATGAATATAAATGAAGCAACGGCTGAAGACTTCTTTCACTGTTATACAATTGAATACTCAACTGTAAAATGTTTGCATGCATCCACCCCCTAAAAAAATGAATACGAGTCCGGTAACTTAACCACTAAAATCACAAATGAGGGGGGAGGGGTATTGGGGGCGTAAAACATTCTCACACAGTCAGATGCAGTTAGCAATAGGTTCTAGACAGGACGAGAAACATTCCTGGAATCAAATTTCTCCCGCCCGGATGTTGGTCAGAATCGTAATGAATAGAGCTAGAGAGCAGCCGGGCGGGCTTGGAGAGAGCACAGACGAGTAAAGAACGTGATATTGACATTGCGAAAATGGACCCCCAAACTAATGACCTCTTGTCCTTGAACCAGACTTAATTTCCTGCGAGAGTCAATGGACAATTCAGCACGTGCCTGTGAACTCATTACAATGAAGGTATCTTATTCTGGTCCCACGAGTCATCCACAAACGGAATGCATCGGGTGGGGTTCCCATGACAAAATGCATTTGCTCCGTGCTAATTTACCAGCACCCACTGTGCAATCACGGAGCGCCAATTAAGCCACACATTCTAACTGCATATGTGGACATTGTGATAACTACATGAATGAAGACGGGAACAAAAGCAGCAATTTTTAGCCATACAGGAATCCGTTCGTTTATTATAGGAGTGTTCAAAGAAATTATTATTATTATATCGACCTGAACATCAACACCCCCCCCTCTCTCCCCCCCTCCCTTTTTAGGCCCATAAGCCTGTCTGTTCATCTTTTTTTAAAAATTCGTCTCTCTCTATCGGAGCGAGTCTTTGTATGTGCGTGCTTGGCTCCATCTCTATTGCTCGACCTTTAGGTTTATAAATGTAGATATTTTAAAGCAACATCGACATCATTTAGATCAGTTAGGAGGTGGATTTCCAATCCTATAAGCCAGGAACAACCCAGGTTGAGATGGATACAATTTTTATGTAGAAGGACAATGATACTCGATAAAAATTCGCTCAACTCGAGAATCGAACTCTGGTCCCTTGCGTACAACAACAAAGCGACAAACTGCTACACTACAAACGCCGGTTCTCCTTCCTTTATAAACTCAATTTTCAATACATATACATTGATATGCAAATAAATACGAACACACGTTCTCAAACAGACACACACAGACACACTCTCACACATACACGCACACACACACACACACACACACACACACACACACACACACACACACACACACACACACATACCACACACTGCCCCCCCCCTCTCTCTCTCTCTCTCTCTCTCTCTCTCTCTCTCTCTCTCTCTCTATCTGTCTCTACCCCTCACTCTCACACACACACACACACACACACACACACACACACACACACATGCACATACACACACATACCCACATTCGGGCGTACGTAGAAATGCTCAACAATACCTTGGTCTTTCAAGAACACATCATTCCATACCTTTTTTGCGCACAAGAATGGACGACAATCAATACTGTTACAATTTTGGTTGTTTTTTTCTGGATTCTGACAGAAAAGGTTTGATTTTTAACCAGACCTCACAGCCAGAGGTTTTAATTCATAACCCAATTTACTCCTTTTCATTTAGAGTCTGGTTAATTGTTGTATTTATGAACTTTTAGACTTTTCTGTTCTGTTCTTTTCTGTTCTGTTCTAACAGAACAGATCTTCAACCTCAGAATACTGTGCGAGAGGTACCTCCAACACCAACAAAAACTATACCATATCTTTGTGGATTTTAAAAAGGCCTTCGACAGGGTCTGGCATGCAGCCTTATGGGCAACCATGAGGAAATATAGCAACAACGCCAACCTGATCAACGTCATACAACAACAATACGACAAGGCCTCCAGCGCAGTCTACCTTAACGGCAGCATGGGAGATTGGTCCAGGACAACGGTCGGGGTGAGGCAAGGCTGTTTACTCTCTCCCACTCTCTTCAACATCTTTCTAGAACGAATCATGACTGACACACTGGAAGACCAGAATGGAACAATCAGTATTGGAGGCAGGACAATCACTAACTTGCGTTTTGCAGATGACATCGATGGATTAGCAGGAGAAGAACAGGAGCTCGCTACACTAGTGGAGCGGCTGGACACAACCTACGGCATGGAGTTCAGTGCCGAGAAAACCAAGCTAAAGACCAATAACACCAATGGCATCAATGCGGACTTCAAAGTCAGGGGCGAGAAACTTGAGACCGTCAACAGCTTCAAATACCTTGGATCTATCGTCTCAGATGAAGGCTCAAGACCAGAAATTCTCTCCAGAATCGCGCAAACAACAACTGCGCTATCAAAACTGAAGCCTATTTGGAGGGACAGAAACATCACGCACAGCTCAAAAATTAGATTAATGCGCTCACTGGTCATCTCAATATTTTTATACGCCTGCGAGTCGTGGACACTAACAGCAGAATTAGAGAAAAAGATTCAGACCACAGAGATGAGATGTTAACGCAGACTCCTAGACATCTCGTACAAAGACCACGTTTCAAATGCTGACGTACGAAAGAGAATCACCAACGCAGTGGGGCAATATGAAGATCTACTGACCACAGTGAAGAGACGAAAACTAAAATGGTATGGGCATGTCACAAGGTCCACAGGACTTGCCAAAACAATCCTGCAAGGAACCGTACAAGGAAAGAGAAAGAGAGGAAGGCAGAGAAGGAGATGGGAGGACAACATTACAGAGTGGACAGGAAAGACGATGGGTGACAATCTGAGGAGAGCAGAGGACAAAAATAGATGGCGAAAGCTGGTTTTCCAATGCAGTGGTGCCCCAACGGTTGCCCCAACACGAGATAGAAGAAAAAGAAGAAGACTTTTCACCCTCTAAACAGTCAACTCCTGATATAAAAAATGGGTCATTGTTTGAGCTCTCAGAACATTGCACAGAACATTAAATGTATCCTAGGTAACCTCAGATGTAATCACGTTCTTCATAAAGTAGCAACACCATCTGGAACGGAAATCATAGAAAAAATCAATCGTTTGACAATACCTGTTATTGTAAAAAAGTACGGTCATCAAGAAAAATAGCAAGTTCTGTGCTGAAGCCAATATTAACAAAACTGTGTTACGAAGTGTGAATTTCGAGTAAACATTGCCTTTTATCAGCCGTTATAGCAGGCAAAAAACCAACAATGTTGACTTTGTGTTTTTCTGATGTCCGGAGGAATCATTTTTCCCGGGTGGCGGCCGAAGCCTACCCTTATCGATTTTAGACCACCAAGGGATCTTTAACGTGCGCAACGTGCACACGGGACCTCCGAAAATGTTCACCCTTGTCCGAGAAGACTAGATGTAGTTCTTTCCTACCAGAAGATCAGTGGTGTTGCGGAAAGACCGCAGTAAGAAGGAGCCAAACAGTAGCAGTAGAAAGTCTGCAGAAATAGTCAGGGTTCAAAAGAGGTGATGGGGTGGGGGGTGGGGGTGGGGGTAGAAAGTAGAGACGAAAGCAGACGACAGAACATTGCTAGAGAGCAAGAAAGGAGGTAAAAGGAGACAATTTTAGAGAAGAAAATTTTTCCGTCGCTACCTGGATTCGAACCTGGGAATTTTGAATAAGAGGCAAACACCTTAACCTCTAGGCAACGAGATCCCCCCTATAATGTTTGTTTGTTTTTGTAAAGTGTTTTACGGCGCTCACAACTGCATAAGGTCATATGAGCGCGCGGGACACACCTAATATTTTCAGTTGGTAGGAAATTTTGAATTTTGCCCGGGTGGCGGCCGAAGCCTACTCTTATCGATTTTAGACCACCAAGGGATCTTTAACGCGCGCAACTTGCACACGGGCCCTCCGAGATTTTTCACCCTTGTCCTAGAAGGCTAGGTGTAGATCTTTCCTACCAGAAGATCAGGGGGTGGCTGAAAGACAGCAGTGAGAAAAAGCGAAGGAGTAGCAGTAGAAAGGCTGCAGAAAGAATCAGGAGCCCAGAGGAAGGGGCAAAAGAGGTGAGGGGGTGGGGGCAGAAAGAGGAGACGAAAGCAGACGACAGAACATTGCTAGAGAGCAGGAAATGAGGTGAAAGGAGACAAATTTAGAGAAGAAAATTTTTCGGTCGCTACCCGGATTCGAACCCGAGACCTTTTGAATGAGAAGCCAACACCTTAACC